ATGGCCTTAATTCACAATTGAAAGAAACAGACTGGAAGAATGGATCAAGAAACAAGCTCCAACAATATGATGTATATGAGAAACACATTTAACTCAAAAAGAAATTCATAGACTGAGAATCAAAGTATGGGAAACAATCTTCCATGCAACAAAACCCCAGAAAAAAGCAGGGGTAGCTATTCTGTTTGCAGACAATATGAACTTCAAACCAAGAATGATCAGAAGAGATAAAGAAAATCACTACACACTTGTTAATGGAAAACTTCCAGAGGAAGAGATAACAATCATAAATATGTACACATCAAATACAAGAGCACTCAACTATATGTCAATTATTAATAGACATGAAAAATCAAATAAGCAATAATACAATTGTAATGGGAGACTTTAATATCTCATTGTCACAGATAGATCAAGTAGAGGAGAAAATCATCAAAGAAATATGAACTATCAGAACTGATAAACCTTTGAACAAATGGGCTTAGTAGATGTTTTCAGAGTGTTCCACCCAACATCATCAGAGTACACATTCTTCTTAGCTGCACATGGGATGTTCTCTAAAACAGACTAAATACTAGCTCACAGAACATGCTTAAGTAAGTGCAAAGGAACTGAAATTATGCTATGCATATTATTTTACCATTGTGCAAAGAAATAAACTAGTGGCAAAGGAAATAACAAAAATTCCACAAACACATGGAAATTAAATAACACCCTCCTAAACAAACAATGGGTCACAGATGAAATTAAAGAAGAAATTAAACACTTCATTCACTAAAAGAAAAAGAAGACACAATATACCAGAATTTAAGGGATGCAATTGAAGGAGTCCTTAGAGGGAAATTTATAGTGGTGAATTCTCAAATCAGGAAATCAGAACAAGCGCAAATATACAACCTAATGATGCACCTCAAGCTTCTAGAAAAACAAGAGCAGGGCAAGCCCAAAGCCCACACAAGGGAGGAAATTATAAAAATCAGAACTGAAATTAATTCTATGGACACTAAGAAAACAATACAAAGACTAATGGACCAAAGAGTAGGTTCTTTGAAAGAATAAATAAAATTGATAAACGCTTAGCCAACCTTATAAAAAAAAAAGAAAGAAAATACTCAAATTCATGCACTGAGGAATGATAAGAGTGAAATCACTACAGAGCCTGTGGAAATTCAAAAGATCATTAATACCTACTTTAAAAGTCTTTACTCTAATAGGATGGAAAACATAAAAGAAATGGACAGATTCCTAGATACATATGAATTACCAAGGTTGAATCAAAAAGATATAGAAATTATGAATAACCCAATATCAGTTAATGAGATTGAAAATGTAATTAAAAACTTACAAACAAAGTAAAGTCCAGGTCCTGATGAACTCATTGAATTCTACAAGAAATTTAGAGAAAATTTAATGCCATACTCATTAAACTCTTTAATGAAATTGAAAGAAAAGCAGTATTCCCTAACTCATTCCTGCAAGTATTACCCTGACACCAAAACCAGAGAAAGAGCCAACGAAAGAAGAGAACTACAGGTCAATCTCTGTAATGAACATAGATGCAAAAGTATTCAATAAGATACTGGCAAACAGTGCAGCAAATCATCAAGAATACACACCATGCCCAAGTGGGAATCATCCCAGGAATGCAGGGACAATTCAACGTATGCAAATTAATAAGTGTAATACACCATATCAAAAGAACCAAAGATTAAAAATCACATGATCATCTCAATAGATGCAGAAAAAGCTTTTGATAAAGTTCAATGCTCATTCATGATAAAAATCCTACAGAAAATCAGAATAGATGGTCCTTACCTCAACCTGATAAAAGCCATCTATGACAAACCAACAGCCAGCATCACACTAAATGGATAAAAACTGAAAGCTTTCACTCTAAAATCAGGAACAAGACAATGATGTACACTATTACCACTTCTATCCAGTACAGTTCTGGAAATATTAGCCAGAGCAATTAGACAGAGAAAGAAATAAAAGCAATAAGGATAGGAAAAGAATAAGTTAAATTATTATTTGTGGATGATATGGTATTCTACATAAAAGACCCCAAAAACTCTACCAAAAGACTTCTACATTTAATAACCAAATTCTGTAGTGTAGCTGGATACAAAGTCAGCATCTGAAATCAATACCATTACTCTACAAAAACAATAAACTCACTGCAAGAGAAATTAGGGAAACCACACCCTTCACAATAGAATCCAGAAAAATGAAATGCTTAAGAATCAATCTAACAAAGAAGGAAAAGATCTATACATTGAAAATTATGGTACTCTGAAAAAGGAGATTGAAGAGGATATCAAAAAATGGAAAGATATCCCTTGCTCATTATAGGAAGAACTAACGTAGTGAAAATGGCCATACTCCAAAAATTGTTGTATAGATTTAATGCAATTCTGAGCAAAATATCATTAGTATACCTCACAGAACTAGAGTAAACATTCCTAAAATTCATTTGGAACCAGAAGAGAGCTAAAATAGCAAAAGCAATTTTGGACAACAAAGGCAAGGCATCAAAATCCCCTCCCTAAAATTATACTACAAAACTACTGTGATAAAATCACCATGGTACTGTCAAAAAACAGACCTAAGGATCAGTGGAACAGGTTAGAAGATGCAGACACAACTACAAACAAACTCAACTACCTTATCTTTCACAAAGGGGCTAAACATATTCACTGGAAGAAAGACAGTTTCTCTAATAAATGCTGCTGGAAAAACTGGCTTTCGACATGCTGAAGACCAAAACTAAACCCATGTCTACCACCATGCATTAAACTAAAGTCAAAATGGATCAAAGATCTGAATATTAAAACAGAAACATTGAATCTACTGGAAGAGAAAGTAGGTAAAAATCTTGGAGACATAGGTGTAGGCAGAGACTTCATGAACAAAACTCAAATTGTATGGGAAATACTCTAAAGAATCACCAACTGGGATATCATCTTATTAAAAAGCTTTTGCACATCAAAAGAAATCACCAACAGAGTGAAAAGACAACCCACAGAGTGGGAAAAAATTTTAGCCAACAATCCCTCAGACAAAGAATTTATATCTAGAACAAGTAAAAACTTGAAAAAAATCAGAACCCGCCCCTAATTTAAAGACCCAATCCAAAAACAGGCATCTGAGATGAATAGGCACTTCTCAAATGAAGAAATAGAGATAGCAAATAAATATACAAAAAAAATGTTCAACAGCACCGGTCATTCAGAGATGCAAATTAAAACAACACTGAGATTCCATCTCACCCCCCCCCAAAATGGCTATCATCAAGAAATCAACCAATAACAAATTCTGGTGGGGCTGTGGGGAAAAAGGAATCCTTCTCCACTGCTGGTGGAAGTGTAGACTGGTGCAACTACTGTGGAAATTAGTGTGGAGATTCCTCACAAACCTAGGATTAGAGGTCACATTCAATACAGGTATTCCCCTTCTGGGTATTTTCCCAGAAGAATTAAAAATGTCGTACCACAACGATATATATGTACCCATGTTTATAGCAGCACAATTTGTAATAGTTAAGTCTTGGAAACAACCCAGATGCCTATCAACTGAGTAATGGATAAAAAAGATTTTTTTTTTAATACAGTGGAGTCCTACTCAGCTAAAAAGAAGAATAAATTTGAGACTATTATAGGTAAATTGATGCAATTTGAGACCATATTCACAAGTGAAACAAATCAGCCTCACATGTGTAAACATCATTTTGTCTCCCTAGTATAAGAAGCTGAAAGAGTAAATAAGATCCAAAATGTACCATAGATACTGGGAAATGGGAAGAAAATGTTCAAAAAGAAAGAGAAACTGTGATGGAGGAAAGGAGAAAAGAAGGAAGGAAAAGGAAAAGTAAATTATATATATATATATATATATATATGCACACACACAATAGCTAAGATAGTTATACTACTAATTTCTATTAGTTCATTGAAAAGAAAGGTTTGTGTTTATATTGTTTGACCGATTTTTCATGCCTATATCTTATAATCTGAGCAACTACTTTGAAGATAACAATAAGCAATGTACTAACCATTGTTACTCTCCTACTATCTTGTTTTGAAATTTTGTATCATTGTTTTTTTCTCTTTAAAATAATAAAAAAATTGTGCTGTGAAACCCCAGTTCAAGTCATTTGCCCATTTTTATTGTATTGCCTGCCATTTTTCCTACATAAAATTTGCCTATATGACCCTTTTTTGGTTCTTCTCATTCTTTCTCCTCCTCTCCTTCCCTTTTCCTTCTTCTCCTTGTTCTTTCTGTCTTTTTTCTCCTTTTCTCTGTGTATTGTAAAGACACTGACATCAAAGCAACATACTCATCTAAATCGCCATCAAGGCTTGACTGCATTTTCTTTAAGACATCTGCTCAAAATTACCTATTGATTGGCACCTGCTAAATTAGCCCAAGGTTCTAATCCTCCTGGTTCTACTAGGATCCTAAATATCGAAGGAATTTCTTCTCTAGAAATGTTGAGGCAAAACTAGAAGCAGCTATGTTTATGAAAACAATCTAGAATATATGTTTTACATGTTAGGAGCTAGCATCAGCTCTTGTTGGGGTTGATGTTGACTACTGGGAAAACTAGGAAAAACAAAAAAAAAAATATGCAGAAGCACAAATGGTCTTTTTTTCTGCCCTAAAGAAACTTCTCTCTTACATGGTACTTCTCTGTGCCTTTTTCCATTCTGCTATACCATTTGTTATATCAGTAGTTAGTTATACCTTAGTGTTTTCTTCTCCTATATAAAGTCTCATTTCACTGGAGATGTCTTGGTTGTCTCCCTCTACTTTTTATCATATCACCTAGACTATGTCACTGTCCTTCTAACACATGCACACTGCCCCGTCAAACACCTGTTCTCACAAGCACAATATTCCCGATCCTATCAGCTCTCTCCCTGAATTCCAGTCAACCTCATTCACTGAATCTTTTCCTGATCATTTTCTGTTATGTGTGATGGAAATAATCCTAATTTAAATAATTTAAAAATAGTTTATTTAATGTTAGCATATGGATTTTAATAGAATTTAACTATAAAAATGAGCACCCATGCCTCACAGTATATAAAACAGTAAAAAACATTAATTCTGTAGATCACCAACTGAAAATTCTGCCCCTACTAAATTTTATAGCCCATGGCTACAATTCACATCAGATATCTGTGTTCATAACTACCCCATGAAGGTTTTTTATCAGTGATTAGTTTCCCATAGATTTTTATTCATTTAATATTTTCCCAAGAGGATAATTCAAGGACAACAAAATTGCCTATTCAAATCTGTCCACCAGTTGTAACCCTGGCTGCACATTAGAATCTCTTGAGGAACCTAATATTTAGTGGTGTCCAGACTCCAACCCAGAGAAATTCGCACAGTCTTTGGACTGGGGTGCAGGCATCTGATGTATTTAAGGCTCTCTAGGAAAGTCTAATAAACCCGGAGTAGACAGCTGCTATGTCTGTGGTTAAGAATATGAGGAATGTTTGGCGATCAGTAAAAAAGAAAAAGTTATAACGTTAAGGGACTGTACTATGAAGGTTTAGACTCTATCTTCAGAAGTGAGTGAGAGTCCTTTCTGTGGCCCAGTCTTGGATCTCTGCTTGTCCAAATGTGAGGTAAAAGATCAGACCGAACATGTTGACAGCAGCAGACAGGAAAAATACATTCCTCCATCCAGACTCAGAATCCTGGAAACACACACACACAAAAACATAATTATTAATCTAGAACAAGTCCTTTTCCCACCAGTTATAGAGATTGTCTATTTTTGTGTATTGAAATTCTGGTCACAAAATGTTTAAGCAACAATATGCAATAGACACTGGGTGTCTTAAGTTATCGAAGAAGGTTCATGAAACTGTTGAAAAAAAAAAAATGTCTCCAAAATGCCCACTGGGGTCTCAGTTGGGATGGCTGTTTGTTTAAACAAAAATAAAGTAAGTTGTACTGATGTTGTGTTTGAAATTTGGATCTCAACATTCATTAAAACATAATGAATTATACTGAAGAGCACACCATTACTATCCCATGTTTGTTCCTAGCCATACACCAGTTACCGCAATCCATTAGGTGGACACCTCAGTAACACAGGAGTCCTATGTACTCTGCCTGAGTGACCACCCTCCCCCATCCCATAGTTTATTTCACATTGGATTACTAGCAATTTGATAAAACAAGCAAAAAATTCTACCAATCTTGGAACAAGGTCACATAGAGATTTATTACAAACAAAACAGGGCTGGGGATTTAGCTCAGCGGCAAAAGCGCCTGCCTGGCAAGCGCAAGGTCGTGAGTTTGGTACCTGGTACCAGAGAAAAACCAACAAAACAAAACAAAACAAAACAAAATTTTGCTTTTCAGTTGACTGTATTTAATTCTTCCTTCCCTAGCTGGTTCTGCCCCTTGATCCTCTTGCCCACCCTGTACAAGACTCAACCTGTGTTCCTTTCCTGCAATGACTCACAGCCCTTCTTACCCCTAAGTCAACCTGTCTTTAGAGTAGACTTTGGACCTTATAATTTTTCTTCTCCAATTTTTTAAAAATTGGGATTAATCTGGAGAGATTCTTTGTGATCTTTCCCTTCCTTGCTGTCTTTTGGACATGGGTCATCCATTCTGTTCATAACTGAGCATTCTCTCATGCTCTAAGGAGCCATCCATGTTGTCTGCTGACCCCAAAAGCTGGTTTTCATGACTTGAGCATCTGTTCATTTGGAAAATTCCAGCTTTTAGTTTTCTTCCCCCTGAAAGCTTGCCAACATTTTCTGATCTAGAGTTTTGCACAACTGGAGCAATTGTATGGACAATGCTCACTTCCCCCATAGACCATACCATCTCAAGAGCACAGTGTATATCTCCAGTGCCTAAAATAATACCTGCTACTTGCAGATGTTCAATAACATGCCCAACCTGACTGATAAGGAATCCGGTGGTGGTAGAAGAGATGATTCCTGCAATGAGCCCGAATCCCCTTGAGATCCCCATGAGGAAACTTGCGTATCTGTGGAGAATATTTGGTTTTTCATAGATAGTCACCTTTGCCATCACAACTCAACTTGAATGAAGCTCATCTCTAATGACAAAGTCATTTTGCCTACAGAGGCTCTTCATTCACCTAAAGCCCTCCTGGGAGATGTCTGCTTGCCAACCCAGAAATCACTTGTTTGCTGGGTCAATAGAATAACTCAGAGAACTAATCTCTGTGGGAACCAAGTTTTTCTACCCCACTGCTCAGCACAGGAGGCGCTTTGTGCAATGGGCAGGACAGGATGTAGACTCTGAAGCCAAACTTCATGGGCCCAAATCCTACCTCTGCCCTGCATGGCCAGACATACCACTTAATCTCCAATGCCTCAGTCCTCTCCCTCTGCCCTAGGAGATAATAACAGGATCTTCCCAGTATAATGGAGACGATTAGATGTATTGATTCTGGGCAGTTTTTAGCATTGGAGTTGGCTCATAGAAAGTAGCTAATATGAGCAACATCCTAGAAACTTCCAAAACACATGTCTGTGGGCCTTTTGCCAAAACATACAGTCTAATCTCTAGTTGGAAAGTTCAAGAAGATTTTTTATCTAAGTGGCTACTAGGCAGGCATGGGAAATGTGGTTCTAAATGCCACATTAGGTCATGGACAGGTACTGACATTTCTGTTACTTGTCATTCTGCCATCATTTAGTGCATGTTGATAACAGGAAGGCTTTCTTTTCTATGGTGGGAATTGAAGTCCAACACCTCTGAAGGGATCTGGAGGAGGGAAATTCAGGCGAACTCTTACCTGGGTGCAACATCTAGGGTGTTGATGATAAACCCTGAGTCACACAGGTTGCTGGTCCCAGGAATAAGTATCAGCAAAATAATGGTTGTCATGTAACTGGATGCCACAAAGGGCAGGGCCACAGCACAAAGTGATGGAAGAAGGAGGCCTGGACAATGAGGACAAGATGTCAGGAGCCCTCCAGAACCATGCGGGATTGGTTAACTGAACCCACATGCCTATCCTTACCTAAGGATGAAAAGAGTTTTCGCACTCTGATTAAGCTGAGAAAATTCCTGGACAGAAGAAAATCTGCCAACTGACCTCCTAAAATTGTACAGCTGGCAGCAGCAACAAACGGCAGGGAAGACAGAACCCCACTCTGAGGGAAGGAAAATTACACAGAGTAATTACAGAGGTGCATATGGCACTGACGTTTATCAGCGATGCAGACCAACCATCAGCTGTGGGATACCAGAGTATTCTGAGATGCTAGAGGAAAACTGGCATCCTTTACCATGGAACAGAATGGTCTCAGGGAGGAGCACCAGCACCTACATTGTGCTAGAGGAAAGCAACATTAGCTTCTAAGGGAGACTTTAGAACCAGCTGGTGTGCCACTAAGACACAGTGGTCAGAGATACAATGCAGCTCTACCCCTTAGTAAGTGTGTGACCCAAGGCTCGTTCTCTTGCCTCCCAGGGTCCCATTTCAATATCTGTGAAATGGGAATTGTTACAGTGTCTCTCCATGCACATTGTGAAAGTTAAATGAGTGGTTACATGCAAAGCTGAAATTCAGTAAGCAGCACAGAACAATTGCCATTATCATCGATTTTATAGAAATATGGGAAGTACACTTACATCTCTCACATTAACATGGAGCACAGTACTGATGTACGTTGGCAGGTACGTGATGATGATGGTGCATAACCAGAAATGGCTGAAAAACCCAGTGAAAATGGCCCAAAGTGGTAGGCATCTGACCATAGCCTTTATGGGGACAGATCGTCTGGGAGAACTGGGCTGAAAGGAAATAGCTAATCAACATGTAGATTAGAACAGGAAAGAGATTGCCTCTGCCTGGAGACACATGCCCTGTCTTGGAGTTGTCTGGGTGGTCCATAAGTGGAAGGTTTGGGCAGACTGTACCTGCTGAGCCAGAGAGGACACAATGTGCTCCTTTTCCCTGGCACTTATACATGGATGGTTCACAGGGTCATCATAAATCACCGTGTACCACAGTAGACAGCAGATACAGCCAGTGCCACCTGGGAAGTATGGACACAATAAATTTTTAGGTAGATTTGTGTGCTGGGGAAGGAATTTCTGAAGTGTTCTTTCTCTGCCACACATCACTTCATGCTTATTTCATCACAAAGTTCTAAATGTTCCCATTTTTTTCTTTGTAATGTATGGACCTCCTCCTTTCTTCAGAGCTTTTCAGATACCACCTGTCAAACTCTGAGTTGCCTTTGTCAATGTCAGAGCCCTGAGCATGAAAATGGCATTGCGGGGCTGGGGATTTAGCTCAGCGGCACAGTGCCTGCCTGGCAAGTGGAAGGTCATGAGTTGGATTCCCAGTACCGGAAAAAAAAAAAAAAAAAAAAAAAAAAAAAACAGAAAATGGCATTGCATGGCTCATTAATTACTCTTAAGATTCCATTTTTATAGTATTTTGTGTTTTCCACTGTAACATCTTAATAAATTAATTATTGTTTTGTTTTGGAATTGTTGAATAGTCAGAATAGAGGAAAAGAGAGTTGGACATACATGGAACAACCAGCCATGAAGTCAGTGTGGCAAGGAAAATGTTCAACTCATTTGTATTTTTTTTTAATTGTCTTTTTAAGACAGGGTCTCGCTATGCAGTTCAGGCTGGCCTTGAGCTCACTTATGTAGCCCAGGCTGGCCTTGAACTCACAACAGTCCTGCTGCCTCAGCCTCCCAAGTGCTGGGATTACAGGTGTGTGCCACCACGCCAGGCTTTGTATTGGTATTCAAAACAGAAATAATATCCCTTATGGGTTCTTTGATGGAATATTTCTTGACAACACTTGATTAACACTTGTGAAACAAGATGGCTGGGATTAGCACCTTTAATAAGAAAGCAGCTGGAATTAAATTTAATGACACTATTTGGCTATAACAAAATAATAATCTGTAGAACTTTTTGTCTCATTACTGGAGTTTGTCATTTGAAGACTATTCTATATTAAAGTATTTGAGGGACTAATGGTCTTTAAATTCCCTTTATTACTGGACTTATCTATCTTTTAGTTTAAAGCTAAAATGCAAATGTTATGATGCTACTAAAGTGACAAAAATTGTATAGTTGATTCCTTGCCTCAAGCACTTTACAGTCTAGTGGAGAGAGAAGGAGAGATAAATGATCACACACCAACATAACCTAGAAAGGAATCAGCAGTAAGAATTATAGAGGACAGAAAGCACAAAGCTATCGGATAGATTCTGGGAGATCCCATGGAGAAGGGAACATTTGAATTGACCTTTGCAAGGTTCACTTAATAAAAAATAGGTTAAAGTTATCTTAGGTAGAATCAATAATTATATAACACAATATGAAGACATATTGAAGGTGAACTCAACCAACTTTGACATTTTAATTAATTTATTTACTTTTTTATTCTTTTTTTCTTTTTTTCGGTACCAGGAATTGAACTCATAACCTCGTGCTTGCTAGGCAAGTGCTCTGCCACTGAGCTAAACCCCCAGCATCAACTTTGACATTTTAGATGCATACATTTGATCAACTAGGCCAGATACTTCAGGTGTGATGATAGAGTCTGAGAAGATGCTGGGGGTAGAAGGATGTTATGGTTGGCACATTTTGTGTCAACTTGAGAAGTCTGGAAGCTTAACTAAGTAACTCAGTAGTTCTACATCCTGGGGTGTACAGGACATGTCCTTTGGGCTCCAGGATGTTGTTCATTGTGTCAACTTGAGAAGTTTAGAAGTTTAGCTAAGTGATTCAGCCAAGGTCCTCACTTTGTAAACATCCTCATCCTGTGCAAGATGAAGGAAGGGAGATGGTGTAAGTGCTACACCCATGCTGAGGGGGAGTAGCCTGCTTACAATATAAGGGAGGAAAAGAGGCCTGCTCCCCCTTCTTCTTGCTCTTGTTGCTTTGGCTGTCTTCTGCTGCCATGAACTATTGCCCTGTTCAATGTGCCACTGTGCTTTGGAGCCCATCAAGTATGGACTGAAACCTTCACAAACTGTGAGCTAAATAAACCTTTCCTTCCTTAATTCTGGGTGTAAGGTATTTTGTCCCAGCAATAAGAGAAAAGTAACCAAGACAGAGGATAAGCTTTCACTACTGATTTCTCAGAAGTTGGCACCATAAGAAGGGTTATCTCCTCTGCCATGCGCAAGTGGATTCTCAAAACCACCAGAAAGTATTAGGTCAACTTGTGTGAACTAGATTCTGAATGCTACCAATCTTCAAATTGTTCATTATTTGACAAAGGATTTTTTTCTATCAATATGAGGAGAATGAAATGAATTCCTGGGCAATGGTGGTGCTAGGGTTTCAGAGAGTGACTCACCAAAGATGTAGAAGATAAAAGGCCAGCCGAATACCTGTGAAATTAGTCCACCCACACAGAGGATAATGAAGGATCCAAATGCAGCCCCTAAAGAGAACAAGAAGAAAAACACTTGTGCAAATAAGAAAGGTTGCTTCAGTGTGGACTTCTTGGACATCATCTCAACACTGAGATAGCAGACATAGAATTACTAGGTGATAGTATTTGCCTCTACTCACAATCCTTCCCACAGGATTATGTAAAGTAATTAGCTCTAGTAAATAATTGTGATACGCCACCTAACTCTTCAATGGTGCCTCAGGACCAATGTGATCAGCTTTAAATGCTTTAGTTTATCACAGCAACCGAAATTACAGAATCACCTTATGACACACTGCAATAAGAGGTTTAGTGGAGAAAAGTAGAGATGCATAAAAATTAATAAAGAACAGTTCTGCCCTCGGAGAGTTTTTAGTCTAGTGAAGGAAAAGTGAGCAAAATTAACTACAACAAGTATAACACAATGTAAACCTTGGAATCTACATTAAAACAACAACAACAAAAATGATAACATTTTACAGACTCACATTATGAATACATTTTGCATGACAAGACAACACAGGAAAAACATGCACAAACACTTGTACACCCAACCACACACACATATCTCAAACGAGTTTCATGAGTGAATACTTAGCTTTGTTATGTGAAAAACATACCAACATTTTGTATTATATTTTATTCATCTTTCTTTTTTAAATATTGTTTTCTCTACCTACTAAATTTCTTTTTATCCCATTAATAGGTCTAATCTGCACTTGAAAAAATGTAGATACAAATATGATAAGAAAACTAAAATGTGTTATGGAAATACACATAAGGATAAACTGCAGACCCTTTATGTCTACTGTGATTATAAAATTATGGGGTTGCTATATGATCTAAGAAATAAAGTAGCTGGAATTTTGACAAAAAGAGTGTGGCATAAAGCTTTTCAGGGATATGAACCCGTGGGAGGAGAGGCTGGGGGAATGGATGCAGGTATGTGGGGAGCAGTGAGTCTTTCTTGCAGAGGAACGTTGAATAGAAATGAGGTTGGGAACAGAGGGTACAGCATCTTGATATCTTCACAATAGGGAGGCCACATTGAAACTTTAAGCCAGTGAGCAAAATGTCCTATCTGTGCTTTAAGAAGATAAATTGCCTTTGATGGGAAAAGAAGGTTGAGAGAAATCAACCTAGAGGAGCGAAACCACCAAGAGCATTTGGAGACAGAGGAGGTGACGACAGTGGTACTGGGAGGAAGTGAGAAAGTAGGAGAGTGCTGAGAGGTAAAAGTCCACATGACATAGTTGTGTGTGGATCTGGGGGTGAGAAGCTGGCTGAGATCACCACTTCTGCTCTTCAAGTGTGGAAGCTGGAGAAATAGTGGAGTAAGATTGTAGTGGCCTTGGGAGGAGCACCGTGGAGGGCTATCTGGCACCATGTCTGAGAGTAAGGACTCTAAGACCAACCAAACTGCCTGGGTTCTAGTTTCAGTTCTATGCCCTCCTGTCTGTATTTGGATTATTTACTTAATCTCTATGTACCATAACACTCCTCTTGGAAAATAAGTCCTAACTAGTTTTTATATAAGACAGTTGTTGTGAGACTTAATTACCTCAGAAAAAGAAAGAGCTCAGAATACTGCAGACCCTTTAAGTCTACTTTTTGGCCTGATAGTTTTAATTTTTACTTCAAAATCTTTGCTAGAATTATACTTTTATAGTTCTCTTGATTTTTTCCATTTATGCAATTCTTAATATTCTAAGTTTCTTTCTACATAGCTGTTTTAATTACCCTACCTCACTATTGTCTTTTCTGCTCAGTGTCTTTACAACACAAAGATATCATTGTTGTGTAGCTGTCTTATATCATTGAATTTTTCAGCAGCATCTTTTTTCCCCTCTTCCTTGAGCTGTCTGATTTACAGAAGGAAAGATATGGAAGGACAGAGCCCCCTCCAAAACCATGCAAAACCATGATCAGCCTTACCCGATCCTGCAATGCTGGTGAGCTTGCTCCGTTCAAGTGGAGGAGCCCATTTTGCCCAAATTGTAAACTGACCTGTCCAAGCCATTCCCTGGAATGAAAATCATTAAGACATTTACTCTTTTGCAGAATTTGGGGATCTGCATCCCACTCAGAATAAGAAAGTGCTAGGATACCTGGGCCATGCCCTGCACTGTCCGAATCACAATGACCAAAATCACTCCGAAGTCAGCAGCCAGCGGGGTAAAGAGGGTGAGTAGGGAAGAAATCAGCAAACCAGCACCAAGCATCTGTTTTGCTCCAAATATCCCTGCTAAATATCCACTTGGGATCAGAGTCAATATTATTCCGTAGCTGATGGAGCTAAAGATGATGCCCTGGGTCTCTGGGCTCCACTGATACACAGATGCCTGGAAAAAATAAGAAAAAAAGCTGTTTGCTAGGAAGTCATTGTATGAAAAATCTACCCTCTACAGAGTTGCCTGGGGTTGGTGAGACACTTTTACAAAATGTCTATTTTAGTTTTTTTCTATTTTTTTTTTTTTACCTCACTTAGACATTCTACATTTTCCAAACAAACAACCATTTATACCTCCAATTTGACTCTTTTAGAAGGTTAGAAACAGGAAAGGAAGAAAGCAAATGAATAATTACATAGATGGATGATAAAAACTAAGTAGAAAGCCATCAAGAAATAGCTCATCTGTTAAAGGACACCTTTTAACAGTTTATTAAAAGTTGTGTGACAGTGACTCTTATTTGAAAGATTAAAATATATACAACTTCCCTGAACTCTTACCAAAATCAGTCCCTAGCTAAAAAGAAAAATCAAGTTTGGGAATTATGGTTTCCCATGGCAGAGCCAAGTTTCTAAGATACATTTCAAGTGAATAAGATCATGTTTCTTTCTGATATAACTCAATAAACACTTTTGGGAAGTCCTGTAGATATATGGTATCATATTATAAATTAGAGTTGAAGAATATAAATTAATAAATAATTTGTCTATTTAAGTAACTATAAGCAATGCAAAGTATACCGTTTGTATTAGAAATACTATTTGAAGTTGAACAAATAAAATAAGGATTTTTGAGAAGAGGAAAGAAAAATTTGAGAAGGTTCCAGGAGGGAAGCAGCATAAAAATCATCCTTCGAAGAATGACTGCAATTTACGTTAAGAGAGAAAGCAAAATTCATTCATATTGAATAAAACAATAAAAACAAACTTGCAGCACTTGAAAGGATAGGAAACAGTCACAAAGTAGCTGTGACTCTGGCTGAAATCTCCAGCCAGAGTAATCTGCAGGGCTGGCTCAGAGCCCTTTCCCTGGGCTGTGCATAGCAAATACGGGTGTGCTGAGAAGCAGGACCAGACTCAGGAGCAGCAGAGTATGTGGCGAGGAAACAACATGCTTAGCAATACACTTAGCACAGAAGTAGTGATAGATAAGCTGCGCCCAGCGTGATAAAATGATGAATTACAAATTATGGGGATGACACTAGAAATGTGCAGTAAATAAGAGATGGTTTGAAGCAGGGGTCCCAGACCTCCGACCATACCAGTGGCCTGTTAGGAAAAGAGCTGCACAACTCAAGGTGATCAGTGGGCCGTGCAGAGGAAAGCTTTATCTGTACTTATAGACAGTCCTCACCCCTCCCATTACTGACTGAGCGGCACCTCCTGTCACATCAGTAGGGGCTTTAGATTCTCACAGGAGCACAATTCCTATTGTGCGCTGCATATGCGAGAGATGCAGGTTACTCACTGCTTATGAGAATCTAGTGTAATAATAATAGAAAAAAAGTGACAATAAATGTAATGAATGAACTTGAATCATCCCCAAATCATCATGTTCTTTGCCTTCCCCCAACCCACCCTGAGGAAAAATTGTTTTCTGGGCAACTGGTTCCTGGTGTCAAAAAGGTTACAGACCATGGGTCATAAACAGAGATGTCAGTGAACTCATTGACTAATGGGAATTAGTAAATATTCCAACTGGTTCAAAGGGAAATTCAAAGAAGCACATATATGTGAGCAGGAAGCAAAGCTGAAATGGATTTTAAAGCAAACGGATGCACCTTGTGGCCATAATGTTCAGTGAAATAAATCAGACACACAAGCTTTAAAACTGCATGGTGTCTCTTATATGGGAGACTTAAATTGTAAATAAAGAGCAAAATAAAAGCAAGATAGTAGGAAGTAGGAAGATAGAGCTTTCTCAAATTGGAAGGAAGTCAAAAGATGGAGGGAAGGGGTAGGGACGGGGAGGGTATGCAAAAAGGAACTGGAATGTGTTATGTACACGTGTTATGCACTAACTTCACACAAGGAATGCAAACATTATGTACTGCAAACATGAACTAATAAACAATAAACAAAGAAGAAAAAAGATATAAATATGATAGATAGTAGATAGATAGATAGATAGGAATACTGGTTTGTTCAATTCGGCTGAGAGTGGTGAGGGGAGGAACATGTGATTTCCCTCAGGAGAAACATGCATCTGCACAGCTATAGGTAGGAATCATCTGTGTTTTTACTAATTATGTAGAATTTACAGGGTTTTCAAACAGCTCAAAAAAAAAAAAAAGGTGCAGAGATCCAAATAGAATTGGGTAACCCAAAAGAATCCCCTAGATAGTAACTAGTTTTTCACTGATGATGCCCAGTGATCTATTTCTTTCATTTTAGAATTCTTCATTATTTTATACAGTTCTCCCACATGATACTAAAAAAAGCTCAATGAAAAGTTATTATCATCACAAAGACAACCAATGTCTTGAAGAAAAATAACATCAGCCTCTTTTAGTTCATCACTGAAAATTTATGCTTCTATACTCTGCAGAATCAAGACCCAAGCCTTCCTTTCAAACTATTTTTCTCTCTCTCAATGAAAAGGTTTGCTGTCTAGCTCACTTACCCTTGTTTTAAAGTCCTCACTGGACCTGTTTGGGTGGTGGAGGGCATCTGTCAGAGACCCCTCAGTGGAGGCACTGGGTGGATCATGTTGCTGGGTGTTGTTCACCATGGCAATGATGGCGATGCTCAGACTCACGCGCTGGGTGATCATGGTGAAGTTCGAGAAGTGCATGATAAGAGCCAGCCCATATCGTAGTGAGCAGAAATCTGCACCTAGATGATAGAGAGTAAGCAGTGAGCTCCTCATTCAGATCCTTCTTCCCACTTCTCCCACAGCTAAATCTGAATGTACTTTGGAAGATACCACACGGCCCAACTGTATTCTTTTAAGATTCATTCCACTCCTTAGATCCAGAATCTATTGGCTTCATTTATGACAGATTTATCTAGTGCATAAACCATTTTTCTAAAGAAAAAGCAGCCAGTAACAGGATCATGGGCAGGAACTGGTTCTGATGCTTCTCTAAGAGTCTCTCCAAGGAACAGCATGGGGGACAAGCGAGAAAAGGGGAGTGCCAATGCGAGAAGACCACTGGCCTTACCTTTCCTAGGGGGAGGCTTCATATCCATTTGGCTTCTCCAGGAGTTGGTACCACACTTTGTGGTGGAGTTTCCCACTCCCTTAAATTTCTCTTACAACGACAGGCTTTTATCTGTGATGAGAACATAATCCAACATATGATACACAAATCCCTTCTTCTTGATATTGTTGTCTCATATCATCATCAGTAGAAATTTTGACTCAACACAGCTGCATTATTTCCATTTTCCAGTGCACTCTTTCTATGCTTTTGTAGGACTGCACTTTTATAAAGAAATCTCAGTATAAATCCTTAGACTTAGTCACTTAAATTCCTTAGTTATCCATTATGTACATACTGTACATACTCTCATATGTACAGTAATGATAAAGTTCCTTTTAAGTAGTACTGTAAAAATTAAGGGAGAAAATTGTAAAGGTTTTGTCAGACCACAGAGAGCCATGCGAATGTAGTAAGTGTCACAGTTTGTAGCAGTCATGAGACAGGGCAGTTAAATTCAGCCCAAGAGCAGTGCTTTCTTTCATTCTGCCCATGTTTCTCTTCCCTCAGAACAACTGGAACTCTGTTCTCCGGTGTTTTTGAATATTAAAGAAGTGATTGTATATCATTTATATATATTATATGTTAAGGTTTAAAATGTTGTTTGCAAACACAAGTTGAACACCTTACTGGGCTAACAAGATCTTCAACCACCTACAAAATTATACTGAATGAGGGCTTTCAACTACGATAATGAATATAAAGACAGTTCTTTTGGAAGGCTGAGCGAATTCATGATCCCCAAAATGCACATATTTAGTTTTCTATTTACGTATTAATCAAACTTTCCTTGGCGATATATATATATATATATATATATATATATATATAAATTTTTTTTTTTAGAAAAAAATCTCCATCTTAAGATTATTTTCAATTTTGGGTCCATTCCTAAGCTGAATCTTCCACCACTTTAAAAACACTTGTATCACATTTATGTCTTAAGGCTTTTCACTCTTTCTGTGCCCAAATTAAAGGAGACTTATCTATATCCTTAAAGATGTTCCTAATCGATGACCTTAGGATGAAAAGGCATAAGGAAAGAAACAGATGAAGAATTTTTCTCCAAAAACATGCATTGTAGTGTAAGTTATGATAGGAAAATATTGGACACATATTACCCTAACTGTAAGTCAATTTTGATAGATTTTTATTATGAATTCTGTTAGAATAGTGCTTTCAAAGATATAGAAATAAAATTGGGGAAATCTTTGCGCTCTGGGACAAAGCAGGATGCAGTGTGTACATTAACATACAAAAGAACAGCTTCATGTAAGTGCTTGTAGTGCCTATTTCTGAGCTATAGAACAGGGTAGACATGTTATTGTTGATGATTTGTCTGTATTTATTAAGTTTTTAAAATAATTAATAGATACTCACTTAGTATCCAGAAGAAGCTAAACAATGATTAGGCTTCATCAACACAGTCAGAATAATTTTTTGCTTACCAAATAGCTCAGAGTTCTGAAAAAAATATCTCCCTATTTGAGTGTTACAATGCTTGCATCTGTTGACAGTGGTCCCACATGAAGATTGCACTATTAGCAAGAGGAGATTAAACCAGGACAGATGCTGACTGTGGGTTGATATGTACCCCATGCCAGCACATATCAGGAGTTTAGCCCACTTCTCTACACTCAGATCCTAGCAAAGCCCTCTGAACATAAACTTGGAATTTCATCATTTGCTATTTGATGTCTCTTATTATGTAAGAACCCCAGGACTTGGAAAAAGGCTATTCTTTTTCTGTACATACCATTATCATGATCGTATTACACCAAAAGCCTTCCTATTGACTTCTCCAATGACTTATAAACATTGGGCTCTCAAACTGAAAGAGACCAAGAAAGCCTCTGACCCCAATGCTCATTTTATGGATGAGGAAATTAATGTGCAGAAAGCTTAAAGACTTGCCTCAAGACACTCAGTTCACAGAACCAGCCTGGAGTGCTGCTTTTTCTACCTGTTCATCCTACTTCCTCTTTATTTCTTTAACATTTTAGGTATAAGCTCAAAACACAATAGGATTTCTTCATTTTAATGTGTTCTAAATGTAAATTCATACAGTTTTAAATCAAGTTTTCATCCTTTAACAGGAAATTTGATGATGAAAAATACTTTTGAGTTTTGAATATTTAACAAAAAAACCCTACTTTTTCTTGCTTTTTCGTGAGTGGGATTGTATCATAACCCTATTACTTCAATCTTCCTTCCCATCTTTCTTACCATCTAAAGGGAAGGGATAAAAAAACTCTACATTGCTTTTATAGCTTCAACTATTTGAATTTCTCTCAGTAGTTTTCAATTGTTTGTTTCCTGATCCTTTGCATGAGACAAATACAGAAATCAAGATTCTAAACCAAAATGTTTCTGTAACATAATAGTGGAAACAATTTTGCTAAAACAATCACAGGAGCTTATGAAATTATGGGGTCTGAGTGCCAGATTAATTAATATGCACTTAGAGACAGTACAATAATTCATAGTCTGAATGCAAACAATTGAGAACATGAATTTTGTCAAAGACCTTTCCACTGAAGACTGATGATTCTGGAAAATAAGTAGTGGAGCCTAGTGTCAAAGCTGTAAGTAGGCATAGAACAATTGAAGGGAAATTATGTTAGAAAAATTTTACATTTGGAAAATAATTTTCTGACACAGTAGGGGTTGTGTTTGAGATAATAATATAGACTTGGCTTATTCATAAGCTAAGTGGCTCTTTTCCTGTTTTTCTTAGTCTTAAACTCATGATTTTTATTTAAGTAGCCTTTCTATTTGTCTGGGTTTCCCCCAACATCCAACCTGCCTTGCATCATCTGTGCGAGCTGAGGCCCCTGGTTTACTCAGGGTAAATTCAAAGTTCAAAGAGCATGAACCTGCAGACCACAGGGGACTGGGTTCCACATTGCCACTGCTGATCTGCGCAAACCAGGGTTTCATAAACTCCTCAAACTTCAATTGTTTCATTGGAGAAATGAAGATAATATTACCTCACAAGTCTATTTGGAGTGAAAACTAAGGTATGAGACGTGCCCTGTGCACTATAAAATATTACACCCGTGAAAGGTTATTGATGCTAATAACAACAGTAATAACAACAGCCACCTTAGCACTTGAGCCCTCCTGGGTCCATGAATAAGTACAGGCTTACAGCAAATAAAATGTGTTTTGATTGGCTGTTAAATTAGTTTAAAAATTTTTCTTTTAAAAATGGATTCTTTCATACTGGAATCCACAAAGTGGGTAGGGGAGGGTTTATCTTGCCACCAGTATCAAAGAACATGGGAAGAAGGAGTTCTGCAGTGTGAGCAGAACCGAGGCCCAGCCTGTCTTGCTGGAAGATCTCTCTGTAGTTCTGGGATAAAATGGGTTATTCCAGCATCTAACCTTATGGCACACTGTTAATTCATTTATGACTGAATCATGGATAATGGAAAAGGACAGGGCTATGCCAACACTAAGGTGCATTTACAGCAGGCCCTTGTGCCTTTCCTCCAGGCAGGAACCAAGTTTTGGAAGCAGCATTGTCTACAGTTGGGTTAGGAGGCACCTTCATGCCTCTGCCCCTCTGGCGTCCTGTTGTGTTGCTAAAAGGTGCTATGGCTGAGCCCTGCAAGCACACATATTTGCTCTTTTTCCCTCTTACTTGCAACCACCTTCACATTTTCCCTTTCTTGAGAGGTGAGTTCAAATATACCTAGAAATCTGAAAAGACCCCTCAGTCACCGTCCGGAAACCAAACATTGTAGGCCCTTATCCAGCCTTTCATTCCATGTTCAAAGCCAGTCTGACTTGTCATGAAGTCAGGCAGGACTTATCAGGAAATGATCTCTGCTCACTGTATCAGCTAGTACCAGTGTCCTCACGAGCCTTACTCTAAGGGTTGATTGAATCAGTCACCTTTTTAAGACAGTCTCTCCTTCTTTTCTGAACCAGATCCCAGTCCCAAAAGGAGATCCTTAAGCTGCAGACAATGTTTTTCCTCTTAATTCCTCTAAAACAGTTCCCTCTCACTAAGGAATTTTTGAGAGACTTGGAATTAGTATCCTCCTCCAGAAGAAAAGACACTCTTACCTTCACCATTAAACCAGTAGCGAAGCCCTTGACTATGTCTATCTTCCAAAAGGAGGCTGTTTCTGGCCCTTCTTCACTTTCAGATAATTCCACAGGGTTTCGCAGGGGTAACGAATGAGCCACGTGGTGATCAGACAGCAACCAGGTTTGACCTCATATTCTCAGAACAGAGAGGCTGGATTTGGCTTTGCTGCTTAATTTTTAACTTCATTTTCAAGTTCTCACAGACAGTCAGTATCAAATGATGTCATGAGATTTGTTTGTTTTGAACTGTGCATACAGCTATTCAGTCAACAACTGTTCCTAAAAGGAAGGTGGCATGGAGTGGCAGAGCAGGTGGGGTCTTGATGCTGGAGAGACAAGACAGTTCTTCACTCCCTAGTATTTCCCGTGATCTTGGACTAGTCACTTTCCTTTCTTAAACTGGTTCCTGCATTAGTAAAGCAACAGTTTAAAGACACAGGTGAGGATGGTGGATGAATGACATCAAATATATTTGCAACTGGTAGAAGGGCCTTAGAAATAAGATGTCCCTGTTAAGGGTTTTGTTAAATCTGCTAGACTTTCCTAGGTATTTGTTGTTGATGGCCTGACAAAGGTGAATCCTGGTTATTATGCTTTAGTAAGGTTCCATGAAAACTGCCCTCCGCCATTCCTTGCTACATTTGTGTTTGTCCTTCCTAACACAGTTTCTGCTTGGCTCTTGATGCGTTGATTTATCTTCCTTATTGTCTCTTAACTTTTATAAAATGAGGTGGGGACATGCTGTCTTCAGCTTTTTTAGCTTCAAATTCCCCTAGTTAGGTGTCTCATCACAGTTGTCCTCATCAGAATTCCCCCAAAAACCTATTACAGTTAACACCTGAGACAAGCCACCTGATCCCCATGTCAGGTTTGTATTGCTACTGTATAAATTTCTACAAACTTGGTGTGGCTTATAGCAATGCATATTTGTTGTGGAGGTCAAAGTCCAGAACGGGTTTCACTAATTCAAAATTAAGCCATTAGCAGGGCTGTGGTTCCTCTGGAGGCTATAAGGAAAAAGCTGTAAGCTTTCTTTATGTTTTTTAGCTAGTTATGGTCACTTCCACTCTTTGGCTGTTGGCACCTTCCTTCCTCTCTTTTCTCCCTTTCCTTCTTTCCTTTTTCCTTTTTTTTTTTTTTTTTTTTTTCTGGCAGTAGTAGGGATTGAACCTGGGGCCTTCACACTGGGGTATATCCCCAACCTCTCTTTATTATTTATTTTGAGACAAGGTCTCACCAAATTTCTACATTACCCAAGCTGGACTCAGATTTGTGATTCTCCTGCCTCAGTCTCCCAAGGTGTTGGAATTACAGATGTGCTTCACCACACTTGGCTTCCTTCCTCCATCTTTAAAGAGACTCAGTAACATCACTACATCTTTCCCTCTCAAGCTGACTTGCCTCCCTCTTCCCACCTCAAAATCCTGAAATGATCACAATGTGAAATACCCTTTGTCATGTAAAGTAATATAATGACAGGCTCTGTGGATTAAGTCAAAGACACTTTTGGGGTAATATGTAGCACATTGCAGTTCATCCTTGAAGGAGAGAGAGAAAACAGGGAGACATAAACTGACTTTATTAAATTAAAACTTCTGATAGTTGATTTATTGTAAAGTCATCATGTGCCTAATCAGCCAATGAAAATAGCTAAGAAGATAAATGAGAATGTCATTTTCATTATCTTCTCAGAAGATGGTGAGACATTTTCAAAATTTTTGCCAAGGCACGACATGACCTGAGAATAACTGTAAAAGTAAAAGGAACTGGGAATAGGTTCCCCTTTGTCAGAACAAATACATTAAAGGAGTGTTTGAAGTGCCCAGTGCTACCAGGAAGTTCTGAATACCTTCTCCAAGCTGCATGCTTTCTTTAAACTGCGCGGTCCTGAGTGGAATCTTTTTTTTTTTTTTTTTTGGTACGGGGAATCAAACTCATGACCTCATGATTGCCAGGCAGGCACTTTCACCACTGAGCTATATTCCCAGCCCCCTCTGTGTGGAATCTTGCAAGGCATCATGTCCACACTTCTCAGCACATCTGGCCTGCCAGATGCACTGTATTGTGAATGTTTGTGCTCTTCTTTGTCTAAGTGCATAGGAAAAATCCTAACCCACAAGGTGATAAGCTATAGAGCCTTTGAGAAATAACTAGGTCATGGCATTCACTGATGGGATCAGCATCCTTGAAAAGGAGTCTCAGGGGGAACTCATTCAACTCTTCTGTCAAGTGAAGATAGAGCAAAAAGATAGTATGTGTTCAATGATCAGTAGTAGTTCACTGAGTGAATAAACTTGCCATCAGTAGTTAAGATTTCTATATCTAGTCCGAACCTCCAACCTATCACAATTTTCATGTAACAACATGTTAATAAATCAGCTCAGTGAACTTAAAGAACTTAAGTAAGTTACATCTGTAACATTTATAAACATCAAGAATAACAGAGCAAAAGTTTGGAAATCCTTAAGAATTTAGATCTTTCTGGCCTGACATTAAAAATGATTTCCTATCAATTTTTCAGTTCTACCTTCTTTTGAGTGTGTGTGTGTGTGTGTGTGTGTGTGTGTGACTATGTTCCAGACGCTGAGCTTAGCTTCTGAGAATATCAATTTGTTTAATATCTAGCCCATGAATCTACAGAGTTCAAAGTCCACGGTGTGAGATTATACACAGGGTCAGATGGCCAAGATGAAGGGCAACAAACAGTAGCAATGTGAGTTTACAGAGGTGCTGGGAAAGCACGAATGAAGACCTGGCCAACAAGCTTGCCAGGGCCACTTCCTGGAGGAGGCGGGGCCGTGTCAGCTTCACCCCCTGAATGAGCCAGTCAGTAGGGAAAGGACCTTCCAGAAAGAACCAAGCTATCCAGGCTCTGTGTGGGGAATTAGAATTATTCAATGTGACTAGGAATCAACGTGCAAAAGTATAGAGGGAATGTGGTGGACTGACTGGAAACTTGATGGGTGATTTTCAAAAAACTCAATTGCTTTTCCCAAGAGTAGAAATAACTTTCTCAAAAGAGGAGTGGAAAAAAGTTTTAATGTCCCTTGAGAACAATAATTAGAAAAGTTTTAGGTACTTTTTGGACAGGAAAAATAAGACTGAAAGTAAGAAGACGATAAGATTTTATTAAAGGACATATAAAGCAAGATCTAACTACATGGAACAATGTACTATATTCTTGGATGGAAAATTTATTATCATAAAGATATTAATCCTTCTTAAATTAATAAACAGCATTCTGTGAACACTGGGCAAAAAGAAGGGGAAATGAAAGGACAAACCAGAAAGGGCCTAAATACCCTTTTATGGGAGCCTGAGAGACACATCCAGGTGAGACAACAGGTCCTCAGAGCAGAAAAGGAAGCAAGAGGTAAGAGAAATGAGTCACATCTGTACCACTGAGCTTTTACTTAATGCAGTGTAATTTCAAATGAGTAAAAAAAACAGAAAATGCATAAAAAGGGTCCCCATATTCTCTAAATATTTCCCCAAGAAAAGTCTAACACATATTTGCACTTTCTTTATATAAGGTCATATGGACCAGATCAGCTGTTAACTTGGGTTGGTTAGCAGGTTTAACTAACTAGTGAGGTGGTTAAAAAGTTGTAAGATTAAACAAAAAGATGAATACATCAAAGCAGTATTTATATACTATGGTTGTAAACCTATGTGTGTGTGTATCTATATGTGTGTGAATATACACAGGTACATATTTGTCTATGTGTGCATGTGTATAATCATAAATCTACATGTATGAATATGTATATGAAAGAATAATATCTCTGAGTATAAGAAGCTTTTCGGATTTTGTTTAGGTGTTCCTGTGTTTAAATTGTTGTACAAAGTAATTATAAGTTCAAAAAAAGCAAAAACTCATTTTGTTTTTGGGAAATCCCACAGCATCTAGACCAAAATTCCAATTTAGGGAACAGTGTCAAAGGAGACAACAGGACCAGGTCACAGGGGCCTTTTATATAATGCACAGGGATGTGAACTTTAATTGTGGTTCCTGTACTTCCTCAACACACAAGTGTGGAAGCAGAAAATGAAATGCACGGCAGTGTGCAGAGGCCACTGAAACGTTCCAGGGAAGTAGCAATTTCACTCTAGATGTTGGGGAACAGTTTACAAATTCGTTTTAAATAAGCTATTTCAAATGCAAAATTTGTGTCCCTAAAAGGAATTTTTAGAAGTGAGAACAGAGATTTGATGAAAAATCATCTACAAACCAGGCTTTCTTTTTCTGCATACCCAGATCCATTCTTTAGTTACAGATAATTCATTATATTTAAAAAAACACGTCTTTCTTCTCCATTCCTCAGTTAATGGGCATTTGGGTTGTTTCCAAGATTTAGTTATTACAAACTGTGCTGCTATATATAATGAATGGAGTACTACTCTCTGCCATAAAGAAGGATAAATTTGAGATATTTATTGCTAAATGGATGGACCTTGAGACCATATTCTTAAGTGAAATAAATCAGATACACATATGTAAATATTGCATTGTCTTACTGGTACGAGAAACTGAAAGTGTGAATAAGAACCAAATTGTACAAGTGATATGGTGAAATGGAAGCAGTTGTTCAAATAGGAAGGGGAACAAAGGAAACAAAGGAAAAGAAAAAATGAGAAAAGAAGGATAGAATGAAAATAAAGTTTTGAAAATGAGGGGAAGGGGGCTTGAAGGGAAGGGACGGGAATGGAAGAAAGAAAAATCAAGATAGATCATGTACAGGTACAAATTCCCTACAATGAATGTGATCATTGTATGAACCTAAATTCTACCAATAAACTTAATTAAATTTTTAAAAAGAGAATTCAGTAGAAAAAAAACTCAAAAGGAACTGGGAACAATTAAAATATTTTAAGCAGGAGTGGGACATGATAAAGTTAATGTTTTTAGATCATTTAATGTGGTATAAATGTCTGATGTGTGGAAGTGACAACACCTCTAATTGAAAAGTAGGCACTGCTGAGAGATGAAATGTGGAAGCCACAGAATTAAAGCAGAATTTTGTTACTGATCAGAACCAGATGCAGAGAAGTAGGGATGAAGGCAAAACAAGGGAGGAAGCCCAGAAATTTCACACTGTGCTATTTTATTTCTCTATGTGAAC